CAGCAAAACATTTTCAACAGACTAAAGATTTGACAATGCCGAAATTTTTCACTCGAAATTCGACAGGATCGAAACTTTTTTACTCAAAGTTTGACACTGTCAAAACACGCTGCCGAAAACTATTTCTGTCGAACTACGAAATACTCTCAGTTTATTGCCGGAGTAAAATCATTCATAAAAAATGAAATTCAACGAAAAAATTCGAAATCATTCGACTCGATTTTCGATGCTGAATTTTTCCACCGAAAAAAGTTTCTAAAAATTCAGAGAGCACATATTCTTGATCCTCAACATCTCAGCTATCCGAATATATGATAAAAAAAGAAAAAAATCCACCACTCCTCTGCGCTAGGTGCATCTTACGTCATTAGCCATTAGTACTCATTCTTTACCGTGTCTAAATAAAGAAACGAATTCTAAATAAAGTTTTCTTTCAGTTGCTCAGCGGTCTGTAAGAGATTTCTGGCGCAAGACATCAGAAGAAACGGTAGGGATTATCACGGGTTATGATATTGATGATAACTGTACAAAGCCATTCTATAAAATATTTTTCATCCGTACCATCCATAGTAGCTCTTACAGAATCATAAAATCAATGAAATAACAATTTAACATTTTTTAATTAGTTCTAGTTACAAAACGTCTTTCTTATTTTCCGTGTTGTTACTATTCTATGCCAAAGACCGGCATCTCCAGTTTAAATTGCCTTTGGGTTATAGAGGCTCTTATCGGTTTTTTCATTCGCTCATTCAGCCTACTATTCAGAAAAAAGCATTGCGTTGTTATCTGATTATTTTTATTAGTTTTAGAAGGAAAAACCCTATCCCTGTGTTCTCTGTAGTACAGAATAAAATGGGTTTTCTCCTGTCTTTGCTTCTAGTTATATTATATGTATCAGTCGTGCTACGCTTTTCTATTTATTACTATAAAACAAAACACATATCATACGTACTACGTAAAGATTTATCAGCATTTGCATATACAAAATGCCGGGTAGCAAAAATCGAAAAAGTAAGGTCCTTGCTCTGGATTTATCAGATTTATATTTTAGTGCTATACAAAGATATTTTTGGATTTTTTCACTCGCTGTTTTCGAGAAAGATGGAATGTTTTCAAGAATCTCTGTTGTAATTCTCTTTGTACTTCGTGGAGGGAGTATTTCATTTTCCTTGGTTTTTTTAGATAAAAGGAAGCAACAACAAGCAGAAGAACAAGCAACTCAAAGTGAGATCATCATAGAAGAAGATAATGAGTTTTCTTCAGCATCGACTGTAGCCTCACCCAAAGTTGATAATAATCGATCGTCAACAGCATCGACAGGAAAAAGATCACAAATTGTTGATGTCGGCGGCACTACAAAGGCATCCGATTGCTCAACGATTGCTGAAAAAAAGATCCAACAACCAATAACAACATCCGAAATAATCGATGTTAGTAATGACATTAAAAGAAATGTATCACCATCTGAAAAAATCGTCATACCAAAAACGACGATGTCGTCGTTTATTATCAATAAAACATCATTGAACCTTCCAGAAAAACCAAGGAATCCCGGCACACTTGGTCAACGTATTTTGCTATTCGTCAATCACTTTCCTGTAACATTATCATCGTCAAAAAACTTGATCTGTTACCACTATGATTTCGAAGTGAAGTTAGATAGAAAACAACAACAAGACAGACCAGTTCGAATACCGAAAGATTTACTACAGTCAGTTGACTATAAATAATAGATGATCATCATGACTTGATTTTAATCTTATTTCAGACGAATATTTTTACAATGGCGAGAGGATTATTTATCAACAAACAGCGTTCCACAAGAATTATCAGAAACATCAATAATATCCGAATCAAGAAATTCATATTATCATATTATTTTTGATGGAAAGAAAAATGTTTTTGCATGTCAAAAACTACAAAATATTGATGAACAAGTATGCAAACCTCTTATTTTGAGTTTTTTTCCTAATAACATTCATGTTTTTAGCCCTGTGAGTTTCACACGACTATTAAGAATAATCCACATTGTTCAGAAACATTTATTATTCAACTAAAATTGGTTCGTAGCAATATTGATATGCAATTGTTACAATATTACATTAGTGGACGATCATCATTGACTGTTGACGATGTACAAGATCAAATTCAAATTATGGACATTTTATTTCGACAACGACGTTTAGAATTAAAGTATGTTCTCTTCAATACTTTATTATATTAAACTGAACTTATTATTTCAGTTTTGTTGCTTTAAATCGTTCCTATTTTGATCTGATTTCCACGAATGAAAATCGTGTTGCTGATTTACGCAATGGTCAAGAATTATGGCGTGGCTTCTTTCAAACATTTCGCTATTCTGGAAAAAAATTAGCGCTAAATGTTGATAGTAAGTTGTTCTATCATCTCTAGATCATCAGTTATTTATTCTCTTCTTTCTATTTTAGCATCAAATACTGTGTTTTATAAAGAACAGTCAGTATTGGATTTTATTTATGATTCATTTTCACAACAAAATGAAGATCATGGTAATTTTACTGTGGGAAGAGGACGAGGTGGTTATCAGCGTGGAGGTCATTCTAGAAATGTAGATTTTCATCGTCAACAACAACCATTTAATTATGAACAATGTATATCACTTAATCGAAGTGACATCGAACAAAAACTGAAAGGTAACGTGTCATTTGATATTTTATCTGTTCTATACGACATTTTTGTTTACTTTAGGTTTGAAAATTGTTACTGGGCATATGAGATATGAGAAAATCGATTGGATAGGAGCACTTGGTCAACCTCCCGATCAGGAGACATTCAACTTAAGATTAGAGAACCAGCAAAACGAAATAGTTACCGTTCTCAACTATTTTCAAAAGACTTATCCTCTACTAAAATTACAGTAAGTGACTTGATCATATTCTGTACTAATGTCATGATCTTTTGTGGGATTTATAGATATCCTAAACTTCCTTGTATAATCACACGCAAACGTACTCAAATTCCAATTGAATTGTGTACTATTGTTCGTCAACCAGTTACTAGAAAATTAGATCCAGATGTTACAGCCAAAATTATTCGTTACACGGCTGTGTCAGCTCCGGATCGTGCTCAATTAATTATAGATAAAGTTTATTCAGCTCAATATGACGATGATCCATTTTTACGTGAATGGCAAACAAATATCACGACACAAATGCCAATAATTGAAGGACGTATATTACCATCATCCGATATTGACTATGGTGAACGTAAGGTATTACCAGGTCGTGAAGTGATTGGTAAAGGGTCATGGAATATGGACAATTACAAATTTTATATACCAGCAACAATTAAAAATTGGGCAGTATTAAATTTAACAAATTTATCACAAGACTGTGTTTATCAATTTTATAAACAAATGATGAGTATGGCAGAAAAGATGGGTTTACTGGTGATGAATCCAGAATGGGCTGATTATATTGATAATGTTCGATATTCAGATTGTGATTTAAGAAATATTATTGATGCATTACGAGCATTGGTTAATCATAACAAGTCTTTACAGTTGATATTGGGTATTGTTCGTAATAAAACTGTCGAACCATATGGTTAGTTGATTGTATAAGAACGATAAGAATGAAAGTTAATTAGTTTCTCATTTAGGTACAATAAAACGGCTGTGTGATCAAGAATTGGGTATTGTCACCCAATGTGTACAACGAAGCAATGTTGAACGAGCAAATCTACAAACAATGGCTAATATTTTCTTAAAAGTGAATCCAAAACTAGGTGGTGTTAATAATTCAATCAAGTAAGAAAATAGAAAGCAGCTTCCGACGTAATTTCATGTGTTTATTCTTTCCTTAGTGATATTTTCCTGTTTAATAAATCGCGTGGTGGTATTATGGTCGTGGGTGCTGATGTTTCACATGCAGCAAGTAGTGATAATTACTCTGTGGCAGCTGTAAGTCATTACTTATTTTGTTGTCTATACATATAAAAACATAGGAGCTTTGTTTTAGGTTGTAGCATCAACGGATACTCATCCATCACATTATCATTTGGAGATATGTTTACAAAAACATCCGAAAGGTGGTAAAAGTTTAGAAATAATTGTACAATTAAAATACATGTTCGGCAATTGTCTGAAAGAATATAGAATGAAAAATAAAAGTTTACCTAGTGTGATTCTATTCTATCGAGATGGCGTGTCAGAAGGACAATTTAATACTGTGAGTTTTCAGAGCACTTTTCTTATTGAAATTACTCCTATACTCTTTTGTTTGTGATTTGTAGATATTGCATAGTGAATTGTTACACATGCAACAAGCATGTTTTGAGATTGATCCATTATATCGTCCAAGAATTACACTTATTGTTGCACAAAAACGTCATCATACACGATTGTTTCCTGCTGATCGAAGAGACGTAAACATCTCTATCAACAAATAGTACCATCTATGTTTCAATTACGTATTATTCTAGGAATGTGGTAAATCAAAAAATATTCCGCCTGGTACGTGTGTTGATCAATCGATAACAACACCAGATAATTTTGACTTTTATTTATGTAGTCATTTTGGCATACAAGTAAGTTTGCTGTTTTTGCTCGTACCGATGAAAACACAGTAGACAGTGTTGTTTCTATCTTAGGGTACAAGTCGTCCGACCCATTATTATGTTATATTCGATGAAAATAATTTTGATTTTGATAAAATTCAAATGATAACATACAAATTATGCCACATGTATGCACGTGCAACTCGAAGTGTTAGCATACCAGCACCCGTTTATTATGCTCACTTGGCAGCATTTCGTGGTAGATTATATATCAAAAATTTGGATTTAGATAGGTAGCTACAACTTATTTTACTTATACATTTGTATTTCTGACATTTATTTCATTCAGTTTTCAACGATCAGGTCAGAGGGGTGATGATCAACGTCCAGTAGATTACGTTCCATTGAAAATTAAAGAAAATTTAGTTCGTGATGGACTTATTATTATATGATTAAGCAGAAAACAATGTTTTTTGTTCCGCTATTCTTTGTTTTCATTATACAGTGATATTCCTGTAGTGTTTTTCTGTTGTATTTACACTACCTTGTCGTGTACATAAATGAATGATGGCATTTCTTCGAGTTTGATCAATCATAGTGATGTATCTCGTGAAACCGTTCATTGTCTTATCCTTTATTTTTAAATCATGTGTAATTTATTAGTTTACATCAAACAGATAAGTCTAATGGTAGTTTTGAGCCAAATTCTTTAGACTTGAAACTAATTTATTCGTTAATAACACGTATATGTGACATTTCTAGTCGCATTGATATATTTTCCGTAAATAAAGTTTATTTTCATGACACTACCATCCATTTCACCAAATATAAAAAAAGGAATTTTTTTACGAAATAAAAATAAATTAAATATAGAACAAATTTCAGGTGTTGTACACAATCAGATAAGTGGTAATTGTAATGATGATTACAATGGAAAAAGTACAAGTTAAACGAGTTGACGTAGAAATGGATATGAAAAAGACTTTGCTTGAGCAATATTGTAAATAATATCTAACTTATCTCAATAAAGTTAAAATAAAAAACATATAATTAATAATCACCTTAACAAAGCTACATATTATGATTAAAGTTCAATTTACTATACAGTCATCCAACTTTAATAATTTACATAATGGCGAATTTAAACCGAAGTTGGCACTTTATAAACATGTGTTTTAAAATATTGGCTAAAGGTCACACAGTGTCTCAGTTCTGGATAAGAGAAACTTTGGCGATCCGTACAAATGCATCACGGTTTAATGGCACTAATCGATCAGTGCCTAAAATCTTTCTCTTCTAGTGACCAAATGTTTATTAAAATGAGAAGAAAGACATCTCTACCCCAATGTCAGCCTTTTGAAATCTTAATTTTAATTTCGATTTTGTTTGTCTAAGACTTTAGCTTACGTCATTTTGTGTTACATTTAATACACACGTCACATATTCCTTCTTTAACCCTCATATCACCACCTATGAGATAGTAGCGTGGTTCCCACCTGGAGTCCGTACGGGTCCCAGTTTGATAAGACAGGAATAATACACGAAGTAAGCATTAGGGTATATTTGAACCGTGAAGGCTTTACAACTGCAAGAAGAAATAAACAAAGAGCTCACTGTTTTCAGTTACGCTGGGTACCAAAATTGATTAACAAACAAGTTGAGTTTTTTTCGCTGTGACACACTTTTTCTCTCACCATTTTTAAGCACTAAACGTTGTTCAAAAGACTTCATACTCATAGTCTGTGTAGTTCTAGGTTTTCTAAAAAGATTCTAGTTAAAAATAAAGTTCAAAAAGTTCTCTGAGGCTTTCAGACCAAGGCGGAAGTTGAAACACTCAAGCAGCTGTGTCTCGACTGAAAAATAGATTTCAAAACAAAATGAACCATTTTGTAGAGAATTAAATTCTCTATTTATGGTATATTTTTAAAATTTTTTGAACAAAATGGTCAGAAAATTGAAATTAAAATTAATTTTTTCTTCAGAAAGAAAGTCACATTCGTGATCAGCATGAAAAACTGCGTCTAGTCATGTGCCCCTATCGATTTTTCCAAGAAAAACATTCAAAAAAAGTTTATCAGCGGAGTGTTGCGTCACGTGGACAGGTCGTTTAGTGTAAGTTCTTTCCAGGAAAAGATCAAATACAAGTGATTTTCAAAGCATACTGGACATTTTTGAAAAAAAAGCAATTTTCTTATCTAATTAGCAGTTAATTTCAATTTTCAATACACTGTTAGAAAGAGCATTACAGCAGAGGTGCTCTCCAACAGTTATTCTACCATAGAAAATTCGACTGGTCGATTCTCATGTGCACTAATCGTAAAGGACTCCTTGTATTCTCTTATTTGTGTACCCAAGAGTTTATAACAATTTTTTAATTACTGCAGGTTTGTAGAGAATTGCTTTTTCTACAAAATTCTGATATTTAAAATCATCAGTAACTTTATCCCCTGTGTAGCACTTCATTATTTGGTTGTACAGATCACGGATGACAATAGGCCAACTTCAACAAGAAACTAGGTTCAGACCAATAAAAGAACCATCTTTTCCACAACATGTCTCAGTGAAAAGAGTGTAAAATGTTTGATCGAAGCGCTATATACCATTTCATCTTAAAGTTCTTTGTTAGATGAGCTCTGAACCTTTTATCTATTAAAAAATATAATACAGAAAAATCTTTTCAGAATAACGTTTGATACATAAACGATAAAGAGATGTGGTTTTCGCCAGCTTATAGAAGACACTGGGGGAAATCTATTGGTAAAAAAAAGGTCCAGAATCCTATTCGTAGGTAGTCTGCCTGATGGATCTTCCTTAGGCAACGCTGCCATTTCCTGAGTTTACATAGCAACCTATAATTTAAAAAGATACATAACATACACTGACATCTATGCTCCACATCTACGTAAATCCGAGACTTCCATCTACCACCGTTCGGGTGTGACAGAATTTCTCCGAAGGCACCCTTATCCGGCGACCTTGATGTCTGGTAATCTCGGAAGTGACTTGAGCATAGGTTTTCGAATATTCTAAATCTCGAAGCAATTGTTTATTTTTAGAAAAAAACCTCAGAAACCTATTGGAAACATATACTATATTGAATAATGCATTTTTCACTATTTTCACCGTAAATTAAAAAATTCATAATTCACTGGAAATCGATCCAGACTACTTCAGAATATCAAAATATACCCTATCTGCACACACCTTGGTGCTCACTATGAGTTTTAAAAATTCATAGAAAATACTTTGGTTTTGAAAAGTTTTCTAGAAATCTTTGCAAATAAGGGAATGTTTTTTTACCGTTCTTAAGTACAGACTCGGCTGAGAGGATAAAATAGAGTATCTTTCGATATTCGCGATTTCCAGTGAATTATGAATTTTTTAATTTACGGTGAAAATAGTGAAAAATGCATTATTCAATATAGTATATGTGTCCAATAGGTTTCTGAAGTTTTTTCTAAAAATAAACAATTGCTTCGAGATTTAGAATATTCGAAAACCTATGCTCAAGTCACTTCCGAGATTACCAGACATCAAGGTCGCCGGATAAGGGTGCCTTCGGAGAAATTCTGCCACACCCGAACGGTGGTAGATGGAAGTCTCGGACTTGCGTAGATGTGGAGCATAGATATCAGCGTATGTTATGTATCTTTTTAAACTATAGATTGCTATGTAAACTCAGGAGATGGCAGCGTTGCCTAAGGAAGATCCATCAGGTAGACTACCTATGAACAGGATTTTGGACCTTTTTTTTACCAATAGATTTCCCCCAGTGTCTTCTATAAGCTGGTGAAAACCACATCTCTTTATCGTTTGTGTATCAAACGTTATTCTGAAAAGAGTTTTCTGTATTATATTTTTTAATATAGGTAATAGTTTGCTGTCGAAGTTACCGGTAAACTGACATAGCTAATCTACAGAACGACTGAAGGTCTGTTACTCACGAAAATAATCGATTTCAAATATCAGAACTTTGTAAAGAAAGCAACTCTCTATAAAACTACAGTACTTTAAAAAATTCTTATAAACTCTTGGATCCGTACATACGAGAATACAAGGTATCAGCGTACTATACTAATCTTTGTTAATGAGGGAACCTCCCGAGATGCCCCCTTTCGATTCCAATGATTTACACATGGTTCAATGGGACATTATGAGGTAGTAAAAAGTCTAA